TGTATTTTCTGTTCCAGAACGCAGTTTGTTTTAAAGGAGAGCAGTACGAGAGGTGGGACAAGTTCAAGAAAGAAAACTTTTCCCAAAGTAATGAAGAAGTTGTGAAGACTCTCCTAGACTGTTGGTAAGTGATAAGTCATCATCGCTGGTGATATTTTTTGTATGTCAGACCATGTTTGGCAGATTTAAACCATCAAATAACAATTCACCGTGAATTTTAGTAACTTTTGTATGTTTCACAAAGGTTTACCACGCAATTTCATTCATGATTTCCATACGAAAGGAGTTAACGTGAAACCAGACTCACCGTTTCGTCACTTGATGCCTCTATATCGCGTGCATTTGTTTACAAATGGTCTTCTTCCCGCCAGATGGCGCAGCGTTTCGCGTGATATTTGGGTTATCGCTAATTTTGGCGGGGGCTTCCCCAGATTTTAAACTGAAAACACTGGACATTGGCTACGTAGGAGAAAATTATTATGTACAGATTTGTTAGTCTGGACTCATATATTTTCATTTTCAGCCGAATATAAAAAACGTTGCTTGACTAAATAGCCCGTTTAAACTATATTTGTAACCAGGTCGCCGTTCAACTTAAAGCCCAAATAGACGTTACATTCACCTAAAATTTAGTGTAGAATCACACATAATTATTGAGATATTCTCTAAGATGTAGTTAAAATTAAGTTATTCAAACAATAGTTACCATGACTTTGTGCATAAAGTATTTATATATGAGCAGTTGAAACTCGCTATTTGTAAACACACCTCCATTTTAAACACGCCGCCATCGAAATTACGATTGTTGCCGAACCACGTTGGAAAGTTCATGACCTGATCTCGCGAGAGTTGAGGTTTCTACTTATAGAGGAAGCACATGCAGATATGTCTACGGTAAGTTTTTGTTTACAAACATTGTTTGCGAAGTCTTGTCGAAGACTTGAGGTATTCCTGTAATAAACATTCAGTTTTTGGGAAATTATTAGAAGGAATAATTAGATTAGAAACGATACGACGCACAATTATAACGTAAGACTTCAAAATTGGCCTGTTGTATGATTGAAAAAAGGAAGCGACTGGTGAACGTCTGTACTGTGTCTGCCATGTTTACACACGCGGAATATGCGCATGCGCAATGTCATCGCTACGAGCGGTAATGTATGAATTATTGTGGGTCCCACATTGTTTATTTTCCGATTTTTTCAATTTTTATTTAAATTCAAAACAGTCAGTTTTATTTTCTATAATTAAAGGAAAGTATTTGTTTTGTTACATATATTACGGGGAAAATAAGATAAAGTTTGTTTTTTATAGTGATTTTTACGTATATTGGGGCTTTAAATGATAATGGCCGATCAGCATGATTACAGCTCAATTTATGTAGGAAATCTTATTTAATTCTTAAATATTTGCTGCAATTACTTAATATATATGTACATAAATCTGCATGCATTATGTAATATATTCTAAAATCTTAATCTCAAGAATTTAAATTGTGATATCGATAAGAAATGTATTTACAAGTGTTTTAATCAATATTTTTTTCCAAAATGACAGATTTAGAACAGAAAACGCAAATAAATCTATTCCGTGCTACCAGTAATTCTAAAATATATAATATCCTATTAGATGTTGTTGTGTCTTCTGTTAATCACTTACATAATTGATAGCATTGTTAAATATAATTAGATATTGTTAACATTAATTGGTTAAATGTTGTTTTATAATTTCTTAGTCCGTTTTTACGAACTGCATAGTACCGTCCATTCTCTTTCCCTTTTTGATGATTCAAGCTTGAACATTCTTTTCTGCTTTTCAAGAATTTGTCTAAGGGCAACGTCACCGACAATAATTCCAGTCAAGGTTTCTCGATCATTAAATAAGCTATTTATATTGTATTTTTTGAGGTAAAACACTTTCATTATCCATCAAATCAAATATATAATAGAACAATAGAAAGTTATCAGTGAAAATGGCCGATCAGATTTTGTAAAGAGAATCGTTAATCCTTTGCATTTAAAAGTTTAAGTAAAATGTAGAAGCTTGTTATCAACTGTATAAAGTACTGCCAAAACAGTTAATTCTCTCTCTCTCTCTCTCTCTCTCTCTCTCTCTCTCTCTCTCTCTCTCTCTTTTTCTTTCTTTTAATAGATTCTATCCCGACTCTCTAAACCCGTTGAAAAGGCCAAAATATGTGTGTATCCACTATCATTCCTGAAAGATTAGAATAGGTAGGTCAAAAATACTTTTTATTCTTTATTTTACTGTTTTTTTTTTCATATTTTAAAATAAAATATTAGCCAGAATATAGACACTTTTACCAAAAAAGCTATAGAGTCAGCATGAAAAATAGGTAAGGTCGACTCTGCAGAAACACACATATTTTGAATTTAGACCTTAAACTATTGAGTTATAAAAAGTTACATTTACAGTGGAGATATACATACCAACTGTAAGTAATGAATACTGGCATCATTTACCTATACTCACCTATTGATATCTTTATTTATAGTTCATTTGGTAACGTTGACTGTAATATTATCTCTACTACAGGCACAAGTATGCATCGTTATTAGAACTACTTTAATACAATAGAAACAGTAATTACAAATTGATGTTGGTTATCAATTTCCCACAGTGCAGAGAAATTGTAACCAATATGTTCCATCACTCTCATCCCACAGTAGTCTGAAGGCGGTGGGCTCGGACATCTCTTGAGCATTAATTTCATGTCTGGTAAAGAGGTGCTTTTTCTCAGGCATGCGTGTGTACATGTTTGAAAAGTTGAAGTACAGGTATTTGTAGGGGAAGATGGATAAGAATGTCTGTAGGCAATATCATTGTATGTTAATTCTTTTGTGACTTTGGTTTTGGGATCTGAATATTTAGGATTCATAAATCCTGGCCCCGAGAAAGTTGCTCGATGTCTTTGATTAGTGAATTCAAATTATTATTTTATTTTTCGTTATATTGTATATCTATAATTCTCAAACGGCTTATTTACGATACGTGTCCGCCGATTATGAAAAACACACTTTCAAAATTCTTCCAAAGGTTATGACATGTACGAATATACTGCTGTATTATTAGAATATGTTTGGTTCACAGACTGCACAATAAAAAACGACTCTGAAAGGGACTTACCCATTCGATTTCACTGTCACAACTAAAAAATGTCTTATAATATCTGAAAGGACATTAAAAGTTATGCACTTGCTGATTATTATACAATTCAAAAGTTAGTATGGTCAATTTTTTTATGAATGGATACAAATACAAAAAATCTGCGGTCCGTGATTTATTCATAACACAGCGTTCGGGGAAATGTAAACAAAGCCAAAAATATGTAGGTCTTTTGTCTTACCTGACGTAAAGAAAGGAAGAAAACGAGATCGAGATTCAAAGTTGGGAAAGATAAAACTTATTTTGAGAACATGGTAGAAAGGTGACATCAGTAAAAATGAAACCTGAGTTAGTGTTGGGAATCGGTTGAAATTTCCTGATCGATCATCAACTTTGTGTAATCGATCGATGATCGATTAAAATCGATTGATTCATAATTGTCTGTTTTGGATATTATTCAAGTCTGAATAAGTATTTTGTGTAATGTTTTAACAGCAATTCAAGTAATTACTATGTTGTACATATACCATCTTCCTCTTGTTTATTGCACAGAATACTTTTTAATCAAGAACAAATGTCGTTTTTTTAATAATAATTTTATTAATAATCTAAATAATGATTTCATTTATGTTGAAAATAATTTATTTTCATACATCACAATGTCCAGTACTTCCGATAAAAATCGATTACAGATTCCTTACTCGATTAATCGATCAAACATCTCTATGAACTCGATTAATCGGAACTATACTAGCTTGAGTGTACGAAATCTAGGTTGACCTAGTTTACAGTGTACTTCGATGTTATGCAAATAAAGTCACGTGACGTACTCGGTTGAGTCCGATCAAAACAACGAATGGCCGTATTCAAAACAATGTGTGCTGATCAGGGAAAGTTCGCACATGTCAACCTTTGTCGTTGATGCATATCAAATGCTATAATTACGTACGTAGTTTAATTTTAGGTACTACAACATTTTCCAGAAGGCAAATACGCGGATAAAGTTACCAAAATCTAATGGGTCAGTCCCTTTAACAAGCACAAGGCATGTCCAAACCGTACAATTTGATAGGCTGTGACTTAATCGCAGGTTGATATGATTAATTATTTTATCGGTTAATTCAAAAATAGACAAAAATCTTTTCATAGATAGAAAAAGGCGGAAAGTTCATAACTGGTGGGCTTATACAAAAAATACGGGACCATTGATGTAGTTTTTAACATCTACTTAATTTCTGATCATCGTCGCGCACGTATTGCTATGCAGTGAAATATTTTGAATTATCAAGTTTATAAATCTTATAATGTCATTACCTATATAACAACTGTAGTGATAATATAACGTACTAAGATTATATATATATAGGCAACTAAGTCACTAGTGGTGAACTGAATGTTTTGGAAATCTGTTTCTGCATGTTAATTTAGGGCTGTAAATGCAACAAACAGGAAATTCAATTATTCTCCGTGTAATATGAAATAGGCCTATATTTTACTGGCATAGCACATTTTTTTTTCATACTACATGTATTTCCATTCGTGCTACGCAATCGTGAAGCTATTGAAGAATCTGACATACTCGTGAAATATATCTTATATCACACGGGAAACCATTGAATATCATACCAATAGCCGATTATATTTGATGTGATGATATTCTCACGATTTCAGCAATGGCGATTTGTGGTCTCAAAAATTAAATCCGTGAAATTTATTGATTTTCAAATCGCAAAAAAGAAATATCGTTTTTATAGTGTAAAAATGAGCGGCCTTATATGGTATGTGTGATCGGTAATTGATTGTCACCGTAGACATTTTTGCTGTTATGATTTTTAAACACATATTACGTCAGCACACAGAAATGCCACTACATATAGTTACCTAGAAAGAAATTCAAAAGAATCTAAATCTTGCCATTGGGGTTTTATTAGAAGATTATGAATCTGTTCGTCATTGAGTTTCTGGGTAATTAGTCCCATATCAGGGTAAGTGGGCCCTTTCGGAGATGGCTTTCTGTCTAAGCCTAGTGTGCCTTGGTCTGTGCCTGTGGCGATCTTGCTCGGTCCAGGAGAATCAGACTGGCTTGTAATGTTACATGTACCTTCGGTCTTTGATGTGTCACTTTTAGTGTGGTCACTCGATTCGACTTTATTTTGTTCGAAAAACTTGTCGATCGACGTCTGTAATCCAGAAGCCTTTGAAATTTTGAAAATTTGCACTTTAACAACATTATAATCATGAACGTTGAAATAATGGTAAGAAGTAGAATAGTATGACTTGTATAAAGTTTCGGAAAGCAATGCACTAAGCCTAGTTATTCAACAATTGTCTATGTATATTTTTTATTTATCAATTTATTTTCAACCTGAGTTTTGTAATTTTGTCCGACATACTCTATGCACGGATTTTTTTATGTGTAAGCCCGGGCTTCTTCTTTCTATGGAAGCTACGCCCCTGTCTTCCTCCAAATACATACGAGGCAGAACACGGCAGCTCACTTGTAAAATCTGACGCCCTACTGTCTTAATCAAGACTAGAAGAAGATCTAGGTTTAAATTTAGAAATATTTTGCGAGATCACGTGCTCTGGGTGAAACAGTCTTTAAAGTCTTCTTTTCAAAGAAGGAGGATGGCAAAGAACTGGTCCTTGAAATAGTTTTCGCTGCCCACGAGTAATTGTCATAGCTTTTTAGGTACTATTTTTCGGTTAACACCAGTGCACCAACACGCATCGTTTTGAAAGAGTAAGATTTACAACATTTTGGGAGATAATCTGATCAATATCCGAATCCTATTTCTAGAAATATGTGAAATAGCTGTATTCAATTCTTCACATAGAAATTATCTCAAACTCATCTATAGTTACGCACCTTAGAAGGTCGTAAATTAAAACCATGTGATGAAGTGACTTCCATCTTTTTGAGCGTTTCCGACTTCAAATGGAGAGTTCGAATAAAGGGCGGTAACTCAATCAATGACAAAAAGTTCGCGACATGGTAGGTATTTCTAAAATGTGAACCCAAAATGATACCAGGTATTCTGGTAGAATATGCGTCTTTTGCTTCATCGAAGATATACGCCATGTAAATCGCGGTCAATCCAAGTAATATATAATTACCGCGACTATAATGTTAAAACACACTACGAGAAAACGATATAAAACGTTCTATTTTCCAATGGTATGTTACAAAACTAGGACTTTTCATTAATTACTAAAATTAAAAGTCACTGCAACCATTTTTTTTATTGATATCTAAAAAATAAAGAATGTTAACAGTGCGGTCTTGATCTAATTCATACATTACCGCTTGTAACCATAATGCTGCGCATGCCTATAAGCCTAGAAAGAAGCAATATGGCGGACGCAAATGCGTAAAAGCGACGAGGACCTAAAAGTTACCTTACAGAAAGTGCCAAAAAGCGTAAGAGAAAGGAGTCAGACCAGAAAAGAGGACAGGCAAGAATTTATATAATATATATATATACAGGAGATCGGTAGATGGCGAAAGATGAAGGAGGATCTTGGTCTGAATACGGATTCGGAATGTGCGAAGCTGCTTCTTGAATGGTTAGCTTAACGTTAGCCCTATAATTAAAACGTATCCGCCTGTCGTTGATTTTAATCCAATATCCAGTAAAAGTATTATCTGATAATTGTTGAATGAAAATAGTTGTGTTATTCGCTTGAATTTGCTATCGACAACGTGTGATTATTGTTGACTGTAAAGTGCGGCCCAATTGGGGGTATTCGTTCTAGGAGTAAAAATATGACGATACTGGTGTTACGGTGAGAATAACGACCGTGATGATAAACAATAAACTTGACCGTTAAAATGATATATTATAAAACTGTAGAATCATTTGCTGCAAACAAGAAATAAAAAAGGCGCTAAAGCAAGTGTCATACAGAAGACATGTGCGTTTGTTTACACTTTCCTCGTAATCCATTTTTCTTTGCGGTGGAAGTAAATGACTTCGTCAAGTGACAAACCATGTGACCCACCCGGCTTTCTTCGTAATAAACCGAGCGCGAACATGTTTATAAACAATAGCCAAGACACACTATGTTCCGACGCCAAAAATATGTACAAAAACAATAAATTTGACGTTATAGGCGCGTGTATCGCTTTATTATGGATATATTTTATTATTCATATGCCGAATTCTCAATTTCCCGATGTTGAAATCTAAGGTAATAGTCGCTTTAACCAGTTACCGATGTCTCTACCAATTACCTGTAAACTATGGTATAATGAATTAACAAGTTTACTAACCACATGTGTAGGATATTTACAATGTCACATGTCCTGTTTTTAGTAGATAAATGTAGTTAGGATCTATCTGAATTCCTTCTAAATGACTTAGTTTACTGCCTACCGCCCTTTGGTGAGTCGCCATTAGACACATGCTTTACAGCTTCTGTGGCATTTGTGTTTTCCATCTCTAAAATTGATTCCAATTTTAATGGAATGCATCATATTTTTTTTCGATAGAATGGATATTATCATTGTCAGAAATTAAGGGATTTTAGCTGTTTATGACTTTTTATCATAATTACTCTAATATTGTTATTTCATAGACTGATTCACTATTGCACTGGCTTCAATAGTTTAGTTGGTTGCTATGGTTGTTATTTGCTATTAATAAGGAGTCTACGAACAAAAAAGATCTAGAATGATAAGGTTCGAAGTTACACGTCAAATTTGGTATCATTTCACTGATAACTAATTTAAGTAAAACACTATGAAGCAAATTTAGTCGGAATTCAACAAATCAACGTACCTAGAGACAAGGTCCTCAATAAAACTACTGTGTCATGGTAGCAAGAACAGAACAAAGCAGTTTTTTTTATGAATTTTAATCTGAAATAGAGAAATAAGTGAAAACAAAGCAAAGTCATTTTTGTTATCTATTATTTAATCGCTTTCACCTTAATGAAGTAATCTACACGTAGGTCTACACTACAATACCGCCAGTTACATAAAATGTATCATGCAACATCATTAAAAAGAACAAATGGAGTCAGTACGTTTGGCCGTTAAACATTAAAAACATGCCGACGAAATGATCCGATCACTGATAGAGAAAAAATGAATTGTGAAGAATACTGCCAGTACAAGTTAAACATGTGGCAGAGCCCAGAAAAAAATGTAATCAAGCACAAACGCCTCTTTTCTCTTTAGTGTACTCAAAATTATTTTGTTTCCTAAAGTGTAACTATATGTTGATAATGTGGAGACTAAATATATAACTACAAATAAGAATTTTAAGACCGTAATTGGTCGTTACAGCTCCAAAATATTTACTTTTATACATACAAGGGCTGATTGATAGGTTGTAAGCCTTTTATTGGAGAAGCAAAGCTGGGGTGTCCTTTTTTAGATCTACTATTCCCTGACTATTTATGGCTATGTACCCCAAGATTGGTGTCATTTGGTAAGTTAATGTCAAAGAGGTAGCAAACAGTGAAGATGGACACAATCGCTTCAAGAGTAGTGATTCAATATTTTCATAAGAAAGGTCTAGCACGTTAGAATATCTATACTGATTTGGTAGCATCAAGAGTTATTAATATTTTATTCTTAAGGACCCGTCGACAAATAAAAGGTCATAAGGGTCATCAACCAGTGAAGCGCACAGCGATCCAAAACGGGAAAAAGCATCAAACAAGTTAAAGGTAAAAGAAAAATGCTAAAAATCTTAAATGGCAATATTATCACAAAAGATTAAAATGGTAAGTCAAAGTCTATAATATAGACCAACATCTTTCAGATAACCCAGATTTTTCAAATCTCAACAGTTTCAAAAAGGGTCTTTAGATTTGTAACGTAAAAAAATCTGAAATAGACAAAAGGTCAATGCAGACAAAATGATGCCCCTTCATATGCTACTTTGAAAAGATACATATATTTAACTCAAGCGCCGCGGAAAACTCTGTTAAGATGCTTTGTTCTTCCAGGGCAATGCCCCTGTTCACAAGTCTGTTATTGATAAGTCTGTCATTAACGATGGTGACTTTGAATTGATTGAACATCCATCTTATTTGCCCGATCTCGCTTCATCAGACTTTCATCTATTTCCAGAATTGAAAAAGACTCACTTTTGGTCAGATGTGTAACGTCTAGCATGCAGTGGAGGACTTTCCGAACGGTCAAGAAAAAAAAAACGTCTTTAAAAGTGTCATTGAGGCCCTTAAACATCACTGGCAAAAGTGTATAGATAATGAAGGGTATTATGTTTAAAAATAATGAGATATGCCCGCCAAAAGTTAAACCCATCAATATGAGGCTCACAATCAGTCATCGTACATACTTATATATGGTCATATCAACACGATTCGTGCATATTTAAGATAGTGAATGATTATTCAATTCATGGATGGATTTGTGAAAGTAGTCTCAAATGTCAAGATCAGACTCACATGAAATATAACACAATTAAGGTATGTTTCATTATATAATTCGCAAAAAGATTTGACAAGTTCTATAGAATAAATGTTAAGGACAAAATTAAGCACATGGAGCCATTTTGTGGTGCCATTTCATGATGTAACATTTTTGCCCATATTACGTCATCATAATTGATTTCTAACTGGCGCAGCCAATGAAAAATGCGAAAATGGACGAATTTTATTACACAAGTATGACAAATATCAGTCGAACTCACTTGGTAAAAGGCCAATAATGTGACAAAATATTTGAATATTTTATGTACTTATATCCCCTTACCACTTTCAAGTGGACCATGTTTGATGACGAATTCAGGATAGTACTGTCCGTTCAAAACATAATTAAAATTGATATATAGTTCATTGACAAAATAGGTAAAGATCGGTAAACTAGGTTAGTCCTTCTTCTTCATCCACAAGATAGTGAAGACAATTCCAATCAATGCGCTATAGACTTTTGAAGTATCTTTCTTTCATTTATGTTTGCTCTAACCTTGTAGTTACATCCGAAGCCTATAACAAATAGTATATCACCTTATATAATCATACACATTCTTTGCGCGCATCGTTAATCCGTTTATGGTAAATGCTTATTTAGTCTGTAGACCATCATAGGGCTCAAAACTTTCTTCTTGAATATATACAAGACCATATAACTGAAAACACTCTTAATACACGGAGATCTGTTCACGATTATAGGTATAAACTGTTCTGGTTAAATCTGCACACAGTTAAAGGGCGCCTAACATGCTAATCAAACATATGACCCATTCAAAGGCTCAAAACCTTCATAATAAATATGTAGTCGATGGGTTCCAAACGTTATTCTTACATCTATGCATGTTATAGATCTCCAAACTGGACTCAAACATTAGCATACGATCAAAGGACTCTAAACGTTCTCTATACATGATCTTCAGGCTTAAGGCTGTCCTATTAAACCTGTACACGATCATTAGATCCCATGCATTTCAATTAAATATTTACACGATCAAAGGTTTCCTATTCAATCTAAACACAGTCATATGGCTTAAAATTTTCTTTTCTTATTCATATACGCTCGTAGAGATTACAACTTCCATACCTGAAGTATGAAAGACCATATGGTTCAAAATTTTCTATTTTTATCTATAATGATCATAGGGCACACAACTTTTCTCTATTAATCTATATCTAATAATAGGGCTCAAATGTTCTTATATAATTTTTAACGATCATAGTGCTCTTTAAACGATAATAGGATCAAAATTTCTCCTTGAATATATACAAGACCATAAGTATAAAAAACCATTTTACTACTCGAAAACTGTTCATGATTACAGTGATAAAAACGTTCCGGTTAAATAAATATATATATAATATCAATATCATATGGCTTAAAGCGTTCTTATACAATCATAATTAGTAAATGGGGCTTAAAACTCTGTTAAAATCTTAACACGAGCCTTGTCTTCCAACTCTCTGAATGATGTGCCCACGATTGTATGCAAACATATTCTTATTAAATTAATAAACGATCACAGGCCTTAAAACTTTCTTTTAAAATGCATACATGATCATAGAGCTAAAAACATTCTAATTCAATCTAAAGACCTAATATGGTCAAATGTTTTTTAATTGATTATTGATTTCTTCGGTCTTGACGTCTTTCAGCCGTGTCTTTTCCCGCGTTAGACAATGTTGTGATGTCAACATGTCCCATTTATTCTGCTTCGGGTTAAGATGATCTGTTCCTGTATGATGACATAATTTTCCGGATTCTAGATCTCCAGGCTTGAGCCATGAAACAGTCTTCCGTCTTGAAACAATACCTCCTCTTTGTTGTCTGGATGATTAGACACCAAAAATCTGCAAATTTCAATACGCTGATTAAGTATGGTTGTTAGGTTGATACAAACTGGTGTCAAAAGTTTTAGAGAGGGTTTAAAAAAAAAAAAAATTTCGCCAAAACATCAGGAAAATAACCTGTGACCATAATCGTCATCCAAACACTAATTCGATAAAACTATTGCAAAGGATAAACAAAAGAAAGATTAATATACATATATATATAACGGACCGTCAACACATAAAAGGTCATTAGGGTCATCAACCAGTAAAACACACAGCGTTTCAAAAAGGAAATAACACCAAACAAACTAAAAAGTAAAAGACAAATGCTAAAAAACTTAAATGGGTATATTGTCACAAAAGATTAAAATGGTACGTCATAGTCTATTATAGAGACCAACCTCTTTCAGGTAACATAGAATTGTACAAATCTCAACCATTTCAAAAAGGGTTTTGCGACTTGTAACGTTACGATAAAAACATTTTCGAGTAGAAAGAAGGTCAATGCAGTGCAATGAAAAACGCTTAATGGTGAATGGCTCATGCACCGAGGATTATCTTCGTCTTTCAACATATATGAATGTGTAAAGTATGTATGGCCCATCCGAAGACAGGCAAGGACAACTTCGTCTCGATGGTTGTCTATATAGCATGGAGACCATGCTTTTTTACGGAGTGCAATTTATCATTGGTATATTGATTCCAGTCCTCCTGCCACTGAGCTGTTAAAATTTGTTTAATAAATGGTCTAAAATCTGTAAAATGAAGTTTAAAAACAATAGGTAGTAGCAATAAAGCTTCCTTTGCGGCACGATCTACTTTTTTCGTTGCCTGGTATTCCCATGTGTCCACGAACCCAGCAAAAAGCAACACGAAAGTTAAAGGCAAGTTCATGATATAGTATTAATGTATTACGAATGAAAATATTTTCGATATTTCTATTGCTAAGGTGGAGTAAACTTTCCTATAAAGAAGATCTTTTAATGGAAAAGGAACCATCATTTTTAAAACAGCCGCTATGGTATAATGAGAGGTTAACTATAAACCAGAAGTGTGTTTTTTATCCTGAATGGTATAGATGTGGAATTACTATTTTTAATGACATGATAAAAGATTTCAACACTAATACTTTCGAAACACATGGTGAATTTAATAACAAATACAATATAAATACGAATTTTGTGCAATATTATGGTATCCTATCAGCAATTAGAAGGTATGTTAATCAGAACAATATTGGGCATAATTTCAGAGTAGATTTAGAGTATCCAATTATGCCTCTTAATTTAGAAATCTTTTACAAAAACACTAAAGGAGCTAGGGACTGTTATGTAGTACTCTCTAAAAATAAGGTTATTCCAACAGGTAGGAAGAAATGGGGGGAAAACATTTGACATTAGCGACGAAAAATGGGAAAAATATATAAAATTTCATTTCGAATAACTACAAATACAAAACTTCAATGGCTCCAAGTAAGAATTTTCCATCACATACTGACAACAAATGTATATCTATGCAAATCTGGCCTTTCAAATAACCCTTTATGTGTTTTTTGTAATCAAAATAGGGAAACAATAGTGCATACACTGTGGGACTGTTCTTTAGTACAAAATTTCCGCTACAGCTTTTAAACATCATTGGATGCTTTAATTTTCCCTTTTTCTTTTAACAAGGAATCTTTCCTCTTTGGCATAGTATCACAGTCAGGAACAAGTAATAGACTAGATAATGAAATTTTAATTATGATCAAGCATTAGATTTACAAGACCAGATGCCTTCAAAATACTCTATCAGTAAATGCCTTAATTAATACCATAAAAGACCATTATTATGTTCAAAAATATATAGCATGTTACAAAGGGGATCATTTTGTTAAAAAACTAGAAAAGGAATGGAAAAAATGGAACACCCTCCTAGAATTATAGATTAAAAATTATTTAAAGTTATTATCTTTGATTTCTGGTAAACACAATACAACCCCTCTGTCAGTTTCTTGATTTTTATTTCAAATTACTACATTACAGAAAGAGAGTCTGCATGGATAACAGCTCTCAATATTTTGTTTGTTGAATATATTGGAAGGGCGAAGTAGATATCTCGCGCTTCCGCCGAGTATATTGAAGCGTTGTTCGGTAGTCAGCATCCATAGGTTTCATCTTGTGGGACCATGGCAGCGGCAACCTAATCATTATCTTTTGAACCATCAGTACATAAATGTATTATATAATAACTGCAATTTCGAGAAGGATGAACGAAAGACGCAACTGTCCGTGTCTGATTTAATCTTTTCAAAATTCCAAATGATTTTGGTAACATCAATATTTGTGTTTTGTAAAAGAGCGAATGGTGCAAAAGTATTTAGTTTGTTTTAGGATCGAATACAAGTGAAATAGCAGTATTTGAAGGATTTGACTTAAGCTGCATGGTGTAATGTAAAGCCAATTTATTTCGACGGCTATATAGTGATGGCTCGTTAGCCTCTACATACTGAGACCTTGGCGATGAAGGGTGTCTAATAATTTGAGATATGAAGGTCTCGCAGATCCATGCATTATGGAACTGTGGTATAATTCTGATATAATAAGAGCTCTATAAAGTCTTAGCAAAACTTTTCTATCAGCTCCCAAGCCAGTGTCGGACACCTCCTTTAGAATATTCAGTGCCTTAAGGCATTTGGTTTTAAGGTATTCCATATTTGGAAGGAGCGATCTTTTCCTGTCGAATATTATACCTAAGACATTGGTTTGCTCACAGGTGAATACTTCCTGTCTCCTACGTTAAGTACACAATACCAGTCCATTATTGTCCAAAATAATTGACACTAACCATTTAATTTGTCATTTAACACCACTGACATCAGTCTTTTTTATTCATTTGACGTCGCCACAACAGCCAGTTGTCACGTGGAAAATTTTCACGGATGGTGGGGCTACTGTTGGGCCTGTTATGTGCTCTCAGATTTGAATGTCACTGTAGCAGCCTCCTCCATCATACTTTATTGACGACTTGTTGACAACTAATTGTGCTTGTCATTTAATGCAGACCAATTCACAACTTTCAGACCGACGTTTTCTTACACTTTTTTGGATGTGTTATTATCATTTTCATCGTTAATGAATTGTCTAAATGGTTGATAGATCCTAAATCTAAACCAAGTCAAATTGATTTATATTCGTGAAAAATGGATTCAGAATAAATTCGAACAGAATTCATACAGAAGAAGGTTTTTAAAGCATTTGCTTTATTTATTCTATTGGAACCCCGCCCGCATTGAAGTTTCCAGTGAAATTTCATTAAAGTCTGTTCAGTGGTTTTGACGAAGATTAGAAAATATCTAAATGTGGAGGAGTTTACGGACAGGATCGAGATAACAATAGATTCCTGAACTTTGGGGTTTGGTATCATAAAAATGATCATAGAACCACAGATGCTCATGACTCAATACGTTGTATACTTACCACATGTTTTTGCGGTGTCTACATCGATGACACATGTCATAGGGATTGCACTTTTTTCAGATGTACTGTTTCCATCCGGATTGACCCACGCTATCTGATGTATGTTGTTGACCTCGCTGAGCTTCAAGTGTGCCGGATGTTCCCAACCACTTATCGTTTCTTTCATAAATGTCACTGCGGGGAAGAGTTAACCAAATTAAATATCTAATAGATATTGTATTGAACCACACCGTTGTCCTTGTATCATTACGTTGGACACATTTGTTTTGATTGATTAAATAAAAATCATTGAAAATAAAAAAAGCCCCAATAACAATAGTCATCATCTGACCAAGTCATAAGAAATAAACAACAATTGATTCATGATGTAAATTTAACTATTAACTAGGAACCAAATAAATAATTGTCAACTAAGCTTTGCTACATTCTGATGTCCTGAACGAGTAGGGTATTAATTTAGAATAGAAGGGAAGAAACTCTGGAATAGCATAAATTAGAGAGAGAGAGAGAGAGAGAAAAAAAAGAAATAAAAAAAAGAAACAAAAAAAAAAAAAAAAATAATAATAATAATAATAATAAAAACTAAAAATGGTAAACGAAGCATTGATAGAAAAGCATAACAGAAGAGTAAGAAAAAAAACATCGGATAATGCAGTGGGGCATAATAGAAGGAAGGGGTGCTGAAATATCTTCCGTAATTGAATACATCGAAGAAAGACTTGCAGAGGTGGGGGTGGGGATGGATGAGGTGGCGTGTAACCCAACAATCAGACGTCTCCTACATGCATTGAAAACAAAACAGTCGCCAGGTGGTACAAAGGTATTTGCTAATTAGGACAAGAGGTGAGTATGGAAAAAGCGAAGTTTTAAGAAGGAAAACAAATTATGGTTTCAAAAGTCAAAAAAGGTGAAGATGATTTTGATTAAAAATTGTGGAGCAGTTGTCGACCAATACTTCAATATCTAACATCGAGTGAGAAATAAGAGAGAGAAAAGACTAATAGCTGCAACATAAACACAAAGCCAATTCGTTTGAATGCAGTTATCATGTTAAGTCAGCAGCTGATATCGAATATTGCTTGGCAGAATGTATATCAAAACAAAACGTAAACTTCATAACTGCAATAACAGCCCAAAATCTTCTATATTTCTTAATTTTTTTATATATTAAAACTATTCGAATTAACGTTAACTCCACTAACTGTGTATACAACGTGCGATATGAAGAAATGTATAAACAACAAACATGCGAAATAAACCAAACAGAGGAGCGAAAATGTATCAAACTGTATCACACAGCATAGGAACTGCATTTTATATAACTCAACCAGCAATTTCTTTAGGGTCGCTCTAGCACTACACACCTTCTGCTTATAAAGCATCACTTGCGAACCCTTCAAAGATTTGTTGGTGGATATGTAACCTCATCAGAAAAATCGATCTGACCATAATAAAGGATGGAAGGTCGAACTAACTATAACTATTTATAAATTTAATGTTGAGATGGTTGACAGTAGAATATGTTATATAATTACCTGTTGACATATACTCGTCTATTTTGGGTGAGGAGTCGGTCCAACAACTTTCCACTGGAACCTCATTTAGCTGTAGGTCTGAATTTGTCACAACAGCAAAAGCCAAGATGGAGAGATCATTGAGCATTCTGTTTGCTTGTGACGAACTAATGCTTTTTGAATCGTAACTTAACACTAGTTCCATTGATCCGGCCTTGCGATCAGTCACAACATTCAAAGCTGTCTCGATTTGGTTAAGAAACCCTGTAACGTGATTCACATTTTCCATGTAATACCTGGAATGTTGAGTGTTTTTAGTTACTTGTTTTGATATGTCTCTGATGTTGAAAAAATGCCGGAAACAGTTTTGTTTATTTGTGTCAATTTGCTTGATAAGTTCGAAGGGGTACAGGCTGTTCGCAGAAGCTAACATAATCTGGTTCGAACACACTGCAATGCATTCACCTAACGTTGCCTTCGAGCTATTTAACTCTGTTATGACAGGTATGTAGTTGGTGCCAAGGCATATCCTATCCATGAACTCAGGAAAGTGCCGACGCATATCAACCACCATTACAATAGGGACGACGGAAACGTGGGTCACCTGTTGTAGAAGCATCCGGTACAAACTAAAGAGTAATACAGGCGCAGTAACATCAAAATAGTTGCTATTGATTTTATCAACTAATTCGTATGGAAGCTTTAACGTTATTTTCTCTGTCTTTTCCGATATCGGCAGGGGTTTTTGAGAACCGTCTGCAGACGGCACACTTCTTATCCGTTTAATCTCTCCTTTCCAGAAATTCTCAAAATAGTCTCTGTCTGCATCTATACTCTCTTCCATGCGTACAGCAATATCTAATGGTTTTAGCGGTTCCACAACGATATCTTTCTTAAAAGCATATGAAAGTACGTAGAGCCGAAACTGTGGGACTAATGTAAAAAAGCTTTGCAAGTCGAAACTAACGTGACTTACGATAAACCTTATGCGATGTTTCTTTCCTGTGCTACAATATAGAAGACGCAGCGGTGGATCTTTTGTAATATCGAAAGAGCAATATTTGACAATATCCTTGTCTGTCATTCTTGTCATCACTTGCGAGTCTACGCAACGTAGGTCTATCTTTGCATCCTCTGGATCCATGACAATTTTCTTCATACCAAATCGAAATTGCTGACCAGTTGGTAGATATAATGTTCTTAATTCCGGATTTCTGATTGTGATCCACCTCAATACAGATTGCCATATTTTGATATTTGACAGACCACTTCCAAGTTTAAAATCAATACTATACCATAGACTTGTATCCTCTGCGTTGTTTTCGCGCATGTCAATGTAAAATTTTTCCATCCATGAAAGTGATCCATGCACGTCATCTTTTATTTCCGAAGTTTCAGTCGCGCTCATATTTACAACATCTAAGATGTTCGAATGTGCAAAATCAATTAGCATTTCTATTGTGTAATTTGGGGACAGGACATATGCAACCGGAAGACGACAGCCGGTGGCTTCTTTCACTTCTTGGATCAATTCTACGGCTTTCTGCGACTCCATCCCTAAGCTAAGAAGATTAAATTCTTTATCTAGTTCTAGTTCGTCAATCGATAAAACCTTTGAGATAACGCTGAACAACATATCTTTGAGTGTCTCTCTTTGCTCCTCGAAGGGTGCTTCCATGAGCTTAGTATGGTCCACCACAGTGTTGACAACACGTCGTTGGCCTGTTATCTTCCCTACTTTAGCTAACTCATCTTTATCAGATGCAGAATTAAGCATCATTGCGGGGTTTTTCCCAATGACACTCCAGTCAAACATTCCATAGATTATTTGGCATGGATTTCGCATTAAGGAGTCAAGAAGACATTCTTTGATTTTGTCTGCTTCAAGTACATAAAACCCTTGTGCTTCTAGGTTATTTCGCGTCGCGTCGTCTTTTGCCATACCCACAGACAATGCGCCCCAGTTGATGCTCTGTCCAGGTAGATTTTGGGCTCGTCTGTAAAAGGCCAATGAATCCAGGAAGGAATTAGCTGCTCCGTAATTTGTCTGACCAGCGTTTCCAAACACAGATGTAGTAGAGGAATGCATGACGAAGAAATCCAAAAGTAAACCCTTCGATACGAGATGTAGATTCCAGGTTCCTAAAACCTTTGGTTGCAACACTTCCTTGAATTTGTCCATTGTCATGTTTTCAAAAAGAGTATCTCTCAACACTCCAGCACCCTGAAAAATCCCTTTAATTGGGTGATATGGAAATTGTATTCTCATTTCATCAAATGTTTTCTCTACGTCTGCATAATTGCTAACATCACATTTTTTTGGAATTATTTCATACTTATGTATGTCCATGGCGTTCTGAATTTGTTCTTTCATTTGTGGATTGTGGCCTTTCCTTGATAGTGTTACTACTATCCCTGCACCTTGGTAGCCCAGCCACTTGACGATTTCCCAACCAAGGCCAGTAAGTCCACCCACAACCACGTATGTTGCATTTTTATGGATCAGTTTGTCTTCCACTGCTTGCACTTTCATGTCCCTCTTTCCAAAATCTTTTGCGCCAGGAAGTTTGATTGTTTGCATCTTAAGTGATCTTCCAATGTTATAAGACAAGTCATGTCGTTCAAGATACCGTTTCAACCAACGACTGACTTTAGGAAAAGATGTGTTTTTCTTGTCAAATGAATTCCCTCTTGTGATTGTATCGATATTAATACCTCTTGAACTCATGTGGAAAACTTGAGAGGTCAGGAAAGACATCTCATCTTCAAAACCTATGACAGTGATTCCTGATCGTAAGACGCAGGCTATGTCGTGTTGTGAGAATTTTTCAAATAAAACAAACACATCATTCTCACGATATCTTGCATCATTAAGATAGGATGTGGACGTGACGTGAACACGACAGTGCTTTACCGTCTTCAACATATTCCGGAGAAGGGTTGCTTCTGTATTTTCAGATTGACCTGAATCCGTTATGATGCATACAGTCGATTTGCTTGGGACTCGTTGCATTATAGACCACATCAGCATTGATTTGCTCATCAAACCGGGTGTGTAATTCCGAAAACTTGATAGGTCGCATACAAATTGTTCCGGTACTGACACCCTATTTGCAACTCTTGTTTGATAACATGTCACAACACGGTTCGATTGTTTTTGCCCCGAGATAGTCCCTATGAATTCTAAGCCAATAACAGAATATCCGTTTTCACAGTAGTCTGCCCAAAGTGAATTATTTGTACCTGAATCAAGTTCCGTGACGCACAATCCCGACGACGACTGAATACATATTTCGTCAACTTGGATAGTGACATGGTTTTTTTCTGATACATTTTTGCGGTCTTCTGGTATCAGGAACGGTCTATCTATTTTGTCCGACTTCGTAGACCGTAAACAGAGGTCCAGGTGTGTGTCAGTTGACAAAATTCTGTGCTGGGTTTGTAATCCACTTTGCTGCCTCCGCTGTAGAAAGTTACTATGAATCTGACCATCAACAATAAGGCATTCCATTGTCGAAGTGGCGTTTGCGGACATGAGGAATGTAATGGTATTGTGGAGTGTCACTTTTTCTGAAGCGATTGTCGGCTGAACATCAATCAAAATCATTCGGCATCGTATTCCCTCATGTCGTAAGGATCTGGTAAATCCCCATAATTCTGCACCAAATATATTCTTTTTGATGTCACTTGTACTACCACCTTCTTGAGTGTTTTCTGTAATAATAATTACAGTTTTGTTTATATCTTTCAGCTTCTTCATGATGTTAAGGAAAGCCTCACAGTTTTTGTAAACATTATAAAACACGTCATCACTACTTCTGCTTTGGTGGACAACATTAGAACCAGGAATAAATATGAACAAGTCTAAATCTTCAATGTCTGATGGGGATATCATGGACGCGGAGTTATTCTCCAAATCCGACAGTCGGAATGACTCTCCACGGGGATAAAAGGTTCTGAGAATGTTATGAACTCCGCTGTCTTCATAAAAAATTGCCACTTTCGGTTTTGCCTCGTCAAATGAATTGTTGATCACAGAAGAAATATCTTCAGTAGTCCAGCAGATCTGATAAGCCATGGTGTTAACTCCCATGCTACCGTCCATGACCTGGTGTTCGATTTCCTTTATCTCAGCAAGTACCAGACCATCTGGTCGAGTCAGAATGATGTTTGTGATGATCCTGTCATATACCTCTTGTATGATTCGCGTGTAACACACCATTCGTTTCTCGAATGATCTAAATACAGAAACGTTTCCAAGACGAATAGGGTAGATCTTGTACGAAGATCCTTTTTTATCGGAAAGGAAAATCAACGCGCTTGAGTGCAACATAGCGTCCAGGATTGCAGGATGGAAAGAGGTTTGGTTGATCTGGCTTTCTACTTCGTCAGTGAGGTGTATATAACCACTGCATTCGTCTTTGTTAAATGTAATTGACTCTAGAATCTGGACCGATTGACCGTATTTGTATCCATGCTTTGCTAATTCCTTGTATATTTCCTGGCATTCCATACGTGTACCTGATCTTACGCACACATTTTCAACTGGAATGATAGGTGTGTGTGTATTGTGTCGGTTTCTCACAAATCCTTTAGCAACAGTGACCTCATCTTTGAAAATTGAGAACGCGATATCGTTTGTTTCGTTTTCGTTGGATGTCACGTCAAGATAAGACGGCTTACCTTTGGTCAAGGGAACTGCTTTAATGATATCATACTCAACCTGCATACATTCTGCTGGGATACCCATCACGCTCATTCCAATTTCAAGGGCAACCTCGGTGTAAACAGCACCTGGAATGATTACGGCATCGTCTATGACGTGGTCGTATACGAAAGGAGTTGTGTTTGGACTTACGTTGACCTTGAATTCCCCTTTCGACTCCTTTTTCGTCAACATAAGGTATCTGCCTGAAGAGTCGTCTATGAATCCTTGCTTTCTAAGGAACCGATAATCTGATTCTACTAACAAATGCTTTCCATCAAACTGGTATTGTGGTAAATTTGTCAGATTGTTTTTCATAACAAGATTTTCCCATTTTGGATTCATACCTAGCGTATATAACTCCCTGAGCATGGTATGTATCTGTGTTGAGCCAATGTTTGTCTTCATTGAGGAAACGGCAGTGATATCTTCTTCTTCAAATATGGTCCTCAAATGTGCCTTCAGTACGGGCTTAGGACCAATTTCCAGGAATAGAGTTGACAAGTTATTTGTAGATTCTTGAAGAGCTTGATAAAACAACACTGGCGCTGAGACATTTCGCTGCCAGTATTCTGGTGTAGCAAACTCATCTGCTATTTTCCCCGTCACAGTAGAGAATATTGATGTGTGAGGTCTCTTTGGTTCAATGCCTTCTAAACATTCCCTTATGCGTTTAGCTGCAGTTTCTACCATTGGACTATGGTAACCACACTTTACATTCAAATCGTGAAAGAAAGGTATATCATTTGTTGATTTGGAGTATTCTAATAGGAGGGATTTCACTTTTGTGACTTGCTTCTCTCCACCAGATATTGTACATGCAACCGGACTTAGGTATACTGCAATGACTACATCACCAACTTCATTGCATATTCTTGCAACTTTCTCAGTATCAACATTAGTTATAACCGCCATTTTACCCCCTGATGCTTCTGAAAGTATTTTAGATCTATAGTAAATAACCTTGACAGCATCTCCCAATGACAGTACTCTGCTACTGTAAGCTGCGGCTACCTCGCCTACAGATTGACCGACAATCGCATCAGGGCATATTCCCCAATGCTTCAACAGATCAGATATTCCAATCTGACATGCAAATATACCAATATGACTTGTAAAAGGGTCTTTCATTTCAGCACCGTCACGTAATTTGTCAGTAATCGACCAACCAGTCAGTGGGGCAAGATATGTATCAATGCTTTTCAAGGTTTCGGCGAACACTGGAAAGTCTCTAACGAGCTCCATTCCCATATTGGTCCAGGCTGTTCCAACACCACAGAAGACATACACTAACCTGTGTTGTTTGCATGGTTTCAGTGTGCTATTTATTAGCATATCTATTCCATTGTTACAACTGTTGATAAGATCTTTAACACTTGACTCGATGAATAATGTTCGGTATCGATGATGGTCACGTTTGCAGGAAGCAGTGTATGCCAATTGATTCAAATCGCAAGGCTCTTCTCTAAGTTTTGTTGCCATGTGCTTTAGAGTGTTAATCAGAGATACTTGAGATTTAGCCGAAACAGGAACGTAGGCTATCTCATCTTTATCATGTATTATTCTTGTACTGGTATTAGACGGATCCTCAACCCATTGCCTAACAAAAGCATGACTGTTCGTACCGCCAAATCCAAAACAGTTAATGCAGGCAGCCCTGGTACCATCGTGAAGTGCTGGCCAAGAGCGAACTGAAGTTGGTACATCGAGTCCATAATGTGTAAAGTCTATTCGGGGGTTTCGGGGAAGTGAATGAAGTGATGGTACAATTCTACCATGCTTCATCATCAAAAGGGTTTTGATGAGACTGGCAGCCCCAGCTCCAGATTCAAGATGACCAATATTGGTTTTGACGGATCCAATAAATCGCTGTTTCATCACTTCATCACGCAGTATTGGATAATCTTTAAAGAAGCTTCCAAGACTATTGACCTCAATGGGGTCACCGACGGGGGTCCCGGTACCTGTACAGAACAATGAGAGGAGCAAATGTATATATTAGATTCGTTTACTGTTTCAATATTTACAAACGAACATGAACCACTGAAAAATAACCAACAGCTGTAAAATAACACCATATTCGAGTTTGTTTGGCCTAGTTCTACTACAAAAAATATGCCGAGGAGGACTGGTTTGGGTTTAATGATAGGACCTGAAGAGAAACGTCGCTAATCAGTATGCAAAACTGACAAATTTAGAATGTAAATGTAATTTAGTACAAATCATAAAGTATAGCAAGAGCCCTATTTACCTTAACGGACCTATCTATGGTCGAGGCCAACTGAGCCTGAATTGCTCACATGGTTCAAGGACATTGGTTTGAACAATCTTGGTAATGTAGCCTATTATACCGACTACAATGCACCCCGGGCACCCCGGAGTTATTTGAAGATTTTACGCATTTGACGCCTGTGACCTGTTGCAATTTTTAGTAAGCTTTTGGTCCAACATCCTACAAGACCAATATCAACACGATCAGGCTTTCGGTTATTGATTAGTCCTGTTGAAGAGTTAACATATTTGACCCCGTGACCTTGCAAGTGATCGGACTCGGTAGCCGTATGTTCCAACTTGCTGCAGGCTCAGTACCAAACACATTTTGGTTAGGGAAAAAAGACCGTTCTGACCATAAAAATCAGCCAGGGTCATTCATTTGAACAAACTCGGTAAACTTCACTCAAGCATGCTACATGCCTAATATCCTAATATCCTACATTTTTGTTAAGATCATATACCACTAGTAGTATATACCACATATCTATCAAACGTCAGTACGTTTACACAATGGTCTGAGAGTGAAAAAATACAACGTATGTTGTCAGTTGCTGTTGTGAATGAACACAGAAATTATTTGTACTTATAGCAACGATGACATATAATTCGTCCTTGAAATAGGTTATATACACCGAACTCTTCCTTAAGTAAGTACATGCATATTTTCAACATCCATACCATGGGCCTCTATATATTGGACATGGCTTGGGTTGATGTGGAAGGAATTAAGATATATATTGTGAAGGAGCTGCTTCTGTTGGATCTCGGACGGAGCAGTGATCGGTTTTGCTGTATGGCCATCTTGGTTGCAGCCCGTACGAATGGTAGCCCATATGTTCCTGCCATTTCGTAGTGCCTGAATAGACATACAGAATTATTAATACCTTGTAAAATATATAGGATCACTCTGTGTTACTAGAATGAACTAGAATTTGACAATTTATTGATTTTCAATTTGATAAAAGGTTGTCTGAATCTCCCCTCGCTCTCGTCAGTCATTTACCATGTGGATCGTTATCAAATTTCATATGTATATTTTACAGTTAATTTCATTTCATGAAAAAAAATTATGGCATAACGTATATTTCATTGATAAAAGTAAAAGCAAGTAAATAGGCACAGATAGATAAACCAAAGCCTTTTCAACCAGGAAAATGCTGAGAGAAACGTACATCACTAAGCCTCTCCAGAATGATAATACCACATCCCTCTCCTCGGGCATAGCCATCGGCATTAGCGGAGAAAGCCTGACACTGGCCAGTTGGTGACGCCATCCGAGCTTTTGTCAGAGTGACGAACATGTCTGGATACAAAATACTGTTTACACCGCCACAAATTGCCATAGAGGATTCCCCTAAATAAAGAAGTTTTTGCATTTTAGCTCAGCTTTGATAAGTACACCCCCCCCCCCAAATAAAAAAAAACCACAAAAAAAAAAAAAAAAAAAACACAAAAAAAAAAAAACCACCCAAAAAAACAAAAAACAAAAACAAAAATAAAAAACCCCTCTAAACAAACCAGGCAGTACAGTAAATTGTGCATAACCAGACAAGGTTAGGAAATAATGTTATATAATAATGTTTTTGTACGGGATCCGTTCCCATTCCTACACGCACAAACAACGAACTCGCTCACCCCTCAGTTAAATAGTTTTACATTTTACTGCCATTTGGCAATAAACCAGCAGGCCAAGCAAACACAATCCTGAAAACACATTTCATCTTAATTCATTTTAGTGCAGAATTGCATAGTTATAAGTCTACGGATATTAAATTTTACGATTAGAAGCTTTTACATTCAAGAAGACATGCCTAACGAAAATTGTAACAAATTCTTACAATTCATTGATAGAAAAATTGGCCCAGAAAGATATCGGAATAAGCATTTAAGAATTCAATACAAATAAGAAAAGATGTCTGTTAACCTAGTCATATACATATTACACAATTGCAGAATATGGAAGAAGAACAAAACTAAACAATTTGTGTTTCATCAACACCTTTAGTTTTTATTTTTGTAACAAATTTAATGAATAACAAAGGAAACATGAAATAGTATATGATATATACACTTATACTTAACATTGTATACTTTTTGTAAAGAAATCACGATTGTGACCTTGATAATCATCTTTTCAATCTTTTGACCTTTTCACCTTTATTACTTCTCGAGTGTGAGAATGTAATCTAAATTTGATGCTCAAAACACTCAAAGGATCTGAAAACATTATTCCCGCTGTATAGAATGTACCTTTTAGCTATCCAAAGTCAATATGCATCCACCATTGAAACCAAAATAACAACTTACCGATTCTCAGAGACTGGGTTGCGAGGTTGACAGCCACGAGAGACGAGGAACATGCAGTGTCTATGGTAAGAGAAGGGCCCAGCAGGTTATAGTAGTACGATACGCGAGCTGTGATGATGCTGGCAGCATCTCCAGTCACGGAGTAATTTGTCAATAGTGAATAATCACCGTCTTTAGATGTTTTAGAGTCATTGTTCATGGCGCCAATATAAACACTCGTTGAGGAACCATCAAGCTCTGCTCTTGTGATCCCGCCGTCCTCCAGTGCCATGTGCACACATTCAAGAACGTATCGTTGTTGTGGGTCCATCTCTGATGCCTCTTTTTCGGCAATACCAAAGAAATCGTTATCCCAGACATTATGGCTGTAATGAATAAAACTAGTTGCTTAAGCTTACATAGTTCCATGTAACGTTGTGGTTGTTTAGTACATATTGTCTATGTTATCTTTCAGAGAGGAATTTTCACACCAGCATATGCAATTAAACTCTCGGCTAAAAAAGATATTAGAAACCAATTAACTGATAATTAATCTAGTCATGATATTTGTGATTGAATTTATACGAATATGTTAAGAAAAAATATATATATGTCTATAAATATTGGACCTATGGAGTCTGCGTTGCCCAACCGGAAATAACAACGTCATCAAAAGATATATGCCAACTAGAAATATACCAAAAAACAGGACGAACAAAGTCCCCACTTCCCTTCCCGATAATCTACCCTAATATTAGCCAAACGTGACGATGCCTTGTCTGACAGCTAAACTGCTGGGCACGGCAGTTTGGTGTTGCCATGTGTACATTCAATCATCTCTAAACACGTTTCCATGCTACTGGGTTAATTTGCGATCGTCCCAGAAGCGGTCGTCCGTGTGTTTAACGCGGTGTTTCGCCGACGCATGCGTGGTTGAACGCGACAGATTTTTCACCTGTGACCTTGATTATTGGTCAAGATCATTTCTTTTCCAAAACTTTGTCGAACCTCACTTTACATATCGATACACCAATGATAAATTACACTCCGTAAAAGCTATCATCGGTGAATGGTCTCCATGCTACGGAGAAAACCACCGAGACGAAGTTGTCCTTGTCTTCGGATGGGCCATACACACCTTACTCATTCATATATGTTGATAGGCGAAGATAATCCTCAGTGCATAGGATATGATGAGCCATTTACCGTTAACCATTTTTATTGGACTGCATTGGCCATAAAATTACACGTCTAGAGACCATTTTTTAAACTGTTGAGATTGATAAAATCTTATGCTATCTGAAAGATGTCTAGATTTTATACTATGACTTAATATTTTAATTCTTTTGTGATAATATAACCATTTAGGAGTTTTAGCATTGGTCTTTTACCTTTTGGTTTGTTTGATATTATTTCATTTTTGATTGTCCTGTCTTTCTCTAGTTGATGGCCCTGATAACCTTTTATGTGTTGACAGACCGTTGAGACTGTAATGTGATAATACCTCACATTCCTTTCTTTCTTCCTAGTCCAATTGCCCTTTGGGCAGATGAGTTAAAAATACTTTTTGATTAAAAAAATGTCATTGTACAAGAATTATTGCATGTTTTAAGGAATATAACTAATATACAATATAACCACGTGCATGTTCGTAGCATAAATCCATTCTTTTGCATTGCATATAAAAAATTTCCGTCAAAATTTAATAAACAGATAATTACGTCCGTGATATTAAAGAGCAACTATTACACTATATCTTTGATAAAATTCGAACTTTCATTTACAACTTTTTGTATATATTTCAAGCGTTAGCACAAACATATCTTCATGTCGAGAAGAATATGCCCGTATTTTAAAAAAAAGATAATTCTCTGTTAAAATGTAGATAATATGTAAAGATAGATGCGGCTCAATTGTCTTGGCCTATGTGTCACTAAAGGCATATGAGTCGATTAATATTTAAGTGTAATGGCTATGTAAATGTACATATTTGTGTATTTCAAGCATCTGGCATTTTTGTGACGATAATATTGTAAGAATGTGGATTACTGTTTTTACCTTTCTGCTAGAACTCACTGGTTGGAGTAAAAGAAAAAACATATAGTAAATAACGTACAATGTAATTAAGTAACATTTGCTTAAACTGTTTTAGTGACATACAGTTTTGAAAGGTAACAAACGGAAATGTCATTTTAAAACGTTTTAATGTGCGTGTTCTTAGTAGAAAAACAGTGTAAAAAATAATTGCTGACAGGAAGATATCTTATAATTCTGAGTACCGGCTGCTTTCAAACAGGAGTATTGTTTTTCTCGCTGTATCACTAGAAACCGCGTTGCCAGATTAAAAAAAAACTTTTACAGTCGTTACTTTTTTACTACATAATTTGAACTTTTCATAACGCTAAGGCTGACCGCTAAGGTCCATTTGATGTTTTTTTTTTGTTTCGCACAACAGAATTCAAAAGAATTACCTGATTTTCACGAAACCTGAAAGGCGTGCTTGTTGCCCATGCCCCTATGATTATGTACGACAACTTCAACGTATATCGTGTGAGGCTGCTTTGATCTGATTGGCGGATTTCTCTCTTTGCAATTTCTTCAAGGAAATAATTTTCATGGAATTATTTCCAATTATCTTTTGTTCGGAAAGTTCAGCGCGTAATAACTGAGTCTGTAACGTGGGACAAGCGGTTGAGTAGGGTGTTTGGGATTGAAGACAACAAACGGTTTTTCATGAAACTATTTACTACATATATCATATACAAATACATATAAATTTCACACTAAGACACATTCACACTCACTCCAACACGAAAGTTCAAAGTTCATAGTTCGTTATCCGCACGGCATGACAGTCACAAGTTTCCCTCACGACAAACATCACTAAGGTCAACACCTGAACCGCAATCCAGGCACACGGACAAGCGCTCCGCAAGAATGTCCGGTACAGTAATATCCTCACAAAATACTTTCCCGCAGGTACAGTATAGAAAAAATAGCTGCTAGCACAAATAATCTGGCACAGCTCCGCAGTGGCTGGTTATCTCACCAGTACGTCCATAACACCAGACGTCGACCACATGTAGGTGTAGTGATACCGCCCGCTCCTTCCCTTAGTACGCTGACTCGCCTGTCACACCAACAGAACTTCCTGAGGCTGACTCTATCTTGGACAAGTCCTGACGCCGAAGCGTGTAGCAGAGTCCTATTGGCTCAGATACTAAATCCCGTCATGGAGAGCCCGGTCTGATTTCCGAGCCTGTTTCCATGTTAATAACCGACAATCGACCACAGGCATTCACAAAACAGCCATTACTCTAGGCATACCCTACCTGTAGTCACGTAGATAAAAACAACATTCCGCACGTGCACCCGCACTTCCGCTGACGCCGTACTTCCATACACACCATAAAATACTCGTACACGACAATAAACGACTAAACACGAAAAACAACATATGAAAATTATATTGAGTACATGCGATCGTGACAGAGTCCTTTGGGATTTCATTGGATGACTACATTATGTACACCGGGTTATAGAGCAAACAATAAACACTTGTTTTCAAGTGATTCCTCTATTGTCCCATTGGTTGTCGAACCATCCGTTTATCTGAGTTTCCGTTACGCCCTCTCTTGGTATCTCTTTCAAGTGATTTTCTCCGTTTACCAAAACATTCCAAAAAAAATTGGATGTTGTTGGCTCCAGGAAATCGGCAGCCGATACCGACAATTGCTATCTCTTCTATCCCCTCCATCGGCTTCAGGTAATACTCTCCCAATATTCTCGTGTTTATCTGAGTTTCCGTTACGCAAAAAGGCTTCAGATATAGTTTTGGACAAGATTTAATGAACTTCCTATATTTCCCCTATTTGGTGCTATCGTCCTATTTCAGGAAGAACAAAGCTTGCATTTCTGCAGAAGGAGGATTTTAAAAAATCGCTTAGTAGCCCCGCCTGAGTGTTCCGTGATCTATCATTTAAACAAAAGTTACCTATTGATGCGTCGGACCGAATTGGAATAACATCTTTGCATATCATACAGAAGAAGTGATTTTAAGAAAATGTTCCATTTATACTCTTCGTTCTGTCCTCCTTTCCTTCCTAGGGCGTTGAGACCAAATGCTTACTTAAAATTGTATAGTAACACACTTGGGCGACTTGCATCTGTCACAGACGATATAATATCGCCGGAGCTGACAGGATTAGACCATAAAAAATTGTTAAGTGTGCTGCATTATAATAAGCCTAAACTTATAAATAATAAAAATTGATGTCTAAATGTACAAATAAATAACCCTGTTGTCGACAGTAATGTGTTCACAGCGATATGATCAGTCTACCCATTCACAAGATAAGAATGCGAACACAGAATCTTCGTACATATATTAAAAATGAATTAAACTTTGTTTTGTTTTATATAAATGCACAGTCGATCTTACGGGAAATATTGAAAATTAAACTTTTATGAAATAAAGCAAAATTCCTGTACCAATGTCTTCTGTTTGTTTTGTATGTTATATACAGGTCAGATGAAATAAAGTGTTTATTTATCGATAAATTCCAGCAAGCAGATGTGTCCCTAAATTGACACAAACCAAAAGCTACAGAAACGGTACTTAGTATTATTTTCTTGACAGTTCGATTAATAAAAAAAACAACTGATTGTTATATGTGAACTGACGGTTGCCATGCTAATATGTCGATTGCTTTGGTAATTAGATTTCCACGAATGTTGTATTAAAAAAAAATGATTTGTATTACTTACTTGGACAAAAGTCCCGCTCTGCGGACATAAGTTTTCCCGTACGCGTCTGGATCGGGATCATAGATCGCGTCAAGATTCCATCTGTCTCTTGGTATCTCTTTCACATGGTTTTCTCCGTTTACCAAAACATTCCAAAACTCTTGGATGTTGTTGGCTCCAGGAAATCGGCAGCCGATACCGACAATTGCTATCTCTTCTATCTCCTCCATCGGCTGCAGGTAATACTCTCCCAATATTCTCGTGTACCTTATGGCGAATATATATAGGCAGGCAAAACCCCAATTTTTGTCAGAATGCCATGCATATGCTAATGTACAGGACGCGAAGTTACAGTTTGAGGTCTGTGTCACCTTTCACCTGAATATACTTTGCAATAGAGTAAAGATGAACGCGTGAGTGATATCGCGCCAATCTTGTCTAAACGTATACATATTCAGAGCAATCATTTTTCCCCCTAAATATGATTTGTTGGCGTGTAACTGACATGTGGAAAGACAATTTAATTTCAATCTGATTCATGAAAGAAGGGTTTGGTGTTTAGGTCACCTAACCAAAGGTGATCGTGAAATTGTACAAAAGACAAACAGGTAAATAACACATATTCATTAATATGAGTAAGATACAATACAGCCAAACTATTGTGATCGTTATACCATCGTCCTCAACACGATAACTCGAGTAAATAAAGATAGATTTTGATGAAAATTATGAGTAATTGAAATTTGATCACTGGAACACATGGTTATGGCCCATTGCAGTTTTACTGCCATATGCCTTGTAAACACGATGCATTTAATTAGTATGAACATTTTTAGATTAAACTTGTTATGCAGCCTTATATCAAAAAGATCTTGGATGTAACTGGACATGGGACCCGATTCGGTCGTCACTATGGTCCTTTGCAGCTTTATTATTGAACCTTGTGGAGACAATGATATAAGAAAATACAAAATGGATGTTGATGAAACTTTTGGAGGCGTAACATATTCTCGGATGGGTTCAACAAGGGGACCGGTTTGATAAATAATTTACGGAGTTATGGTCTTTGCACATCAAGTTCAAATCAGATTTGTCAGATGGCCTTTTTGTTTTTATCTCGTGATATCATTTCGTTATGCTTTTCATTTACGTAACTTCTAAATTCGTCCTGCACTAAGTAAACCTAGTTTAAGGATGTTATTTTCCTATGTCTGACCCCAGAAGCCACCTTTTTACAACGAGGTCATAAATAAAGATAATTATACGTTGGTACAAAGAAAAAAAAGGTAAATAAGATTAGGGTCACATGTCTAATTTGTCATTTGATATAAAGTATGCAAACCTAACATAGCGACCTTGTTTTACTTACATATCAACAACGACCTTTTTCCTACCATTGCCAAAGATGAATAATGATACGAAAAACGGAATCGTGCAAAGTCTTCATCCTAGATGCTCCTAACATTTCTCATCATGTTGCAATGAAGATCCATTTATGATCGAACTGCTATAAACATAGCAATCAACACCATTCTATCTATTGGTCTGGATAACATTATCTTGACTCAATATTTGTACAATTGTGTTGTTTCATCTTAATTCTTTCAAGGAATTGTGGTTTTTTTTATCAATATTCTTAAACGTCATTTGAATAAAAGCATCGCTTTTGTCTTATTTTTGTAACATTTTTATTAATCAATATATTGTTCTTTAGTCTTTTGAAAGTAGTACTTTAATAACATACTCAGTCTCCGTGACGTGAACCCATTTCCAAATAAGTATTGTTTTTAAGACTTAATACATAACTCCTCATCATCGAGTGAGTATCTTTGGGAACCAGTGAAGGATTTTGAATCTTGTGTCCTAGTATTTACCTTCAAATGATAGCAACCAGGTACCTAAACGTCACAGTAATTCTACTATTTGTGTCGGAAATGAATTTCTTCACAAAACTACTGAATTTCGCTGGTCATAAAAGTGTTCTATTAGTATACTACTCATTCGACTAATGTTTGAAATACGATTGACAAAGTAGAATACGTTCTCATAAGCATAGATATTATATAACCTGAAGTTGAGAGAAACACAACTACGAAATACAGACTTAAACGATCTTTCCCAAATTCGTTTTGAATGAAGTCCGAGTTTTGCATGGTGTTTAGGTTTTGTTCTAAGACTTAATCTGAAGAATTATTACACCTATTAACAAGTGTGAAGGTGTGTCGGCGTTCATCAGTGAATACGGATGAAAAATCTGTATATTAAACGTAAGCATAGTTATTGAACATCAGTTAACTGAAAGCAATCTTCTTCCTGAATCAGGAAGAAAATACGTCAAAACGCTTATCGTTTTGGATATTGGTAACGCAAAATGTATCGTGTGTCTTTACTAGGCATGGCATATAGTCCTGAAAATGTTAGTAACTCAAAACTTAGCTATTTATTTTTGCTCATCATTCCTGTACACTGTCTACATAAGACATATGTTACTGGAAAGAATTAACATTTCTCCTTTTTCAATTAAAAAGAGGTCAAATGGATATAGGATACGTATATATTACCTGTTTTTATGGGTGTCCCTTACTTTGCAAGTCACGAAAAGTATGTCTCTCAATCTTGTAACAAGTGACAGCCTTCGAAAGTTTTGAAAACTGTTATTAATGCCATGAGTTGATGCCAACACCACTTCAAAGCTTTCTATCTTATTTGCATGCAAATGTCACCATATCTAAAATCAATGTAAACACAATGCATATTATGAGTGCCTTCATTGCAAATTGTCAACCTACATGGTTGATCTTACGTAATTTAATGTCCAAAAAACAGCCAGGGTCATATGATAACGGTTGATGCGAGTGACATCTATAATTTAAAACAAAGAAAGCGATAGCCTAGTCTTATTCTCCGTATATTTTAATGGATAAGTTTTAGAATTTTGATAGGTGCACAGACCTCAGCAACAAATTGCTTTAAATATATTTTGTTCCTAATGCTGCCATTGTTATTTAAAATGTGGCAAATGGCTTGGTCGTCAAAAGAATGAAGAAAAAACAAATTTCTTCTTTTTTCATCATGTTGATGAGCATCAATAAGATGTTGAATTATAACTAGAGATTTGTGATTGAAAAAAGCAAGACAGTATGCATAACACTTTTATCATTGAATTAAATAAGATATGAGTCAGGGAGACTTTCTTTACTCCTCGTCAAACAATGAGGGCACGGCTTCGCACTGGTGAAGGTCGTCCGGCAAAGTAGCTATAGCTACTGTCTTATACATCCTAAACCCAAACAGGATGTGTGCTTAGCGAGATTAAGAGTTTTGAAAATTTTGTGATGACATAAAGGATGTATTGATGTATGTTTTGTTTTGTTCTGTGTTTCAAGTTTTGGATAGTACTGTGGTAATAACCGATCATTCCTGAAAGCTCCGGTATATATCATCATATCGTTTTGAAAACTAGTACTTTAGTAAAATTTAAATTCAAAATCACCGTTAGCGATCATGCGATCTGCGCAGACTATACAATGCTTACGACCTATCTATAAGGTAGGCTTTTATCTAATAAGATCGCGTTGTGAAATTGAAGAAGCATTCTAGTAGAAAATTTGGAAAAACCCTGTTGAAGGAATAACTTCACTAAACTTACGCACAATCGTTGCAAACACAACACAAACAATACCGTCACGAGGGGAAAGAACTAGAAAATTATATTTCGTTCCCATTGTTAACGTGGAACGAGCGTCGGTCAGCGATCCGGGAAATGAACACCGAAAAGATTGATTGCAATGACAAATGTTTATTTACAATGATGACAATAAAGAGATTAAATAAAAAAACCTATAATACCCACACGTCACACTCACTAATTCACTCATTCACAAACACAATTATTACAAGTTACAGTCTGTAGCTACACACACAACGACGAATGGGATCCTGGTACAGTTCCGGTGCAAGACAGTCGCTAACCTGCAACCAACCTCAATCCAGAGCCAAGAGGTATAAACACATCAAGCAGCACCATGCTTGCTTGAAACGCCCAAATTGGCAAACTCACTGGTGTCCAAGACACGACAGGAATGCTGGGATGTACACACTAGTGTCCTTGACACGACAGCCATCCCAATAGTAGATATACTGTGACTCAGCCTCCAAGCAAGTCGCTGACCCAGGCCTACGTAACGACCCAACACAGCTGACTGGTCCTGGCTTGATAGCTGAGACTCCTAGTCCGTCATGTGAAGCTACAATAATACATAGTGGAAAATAATGCTGTAGTCACACAGATTCACTCTCACCTGGCATACTAATTAACTAATAATTAATTATCAATAATATAAATATTCATTAATATATTGTAAATATACGTAAATCAATATAATAAAGATAAAGGGATAAGTGTGCGGCTCCAAATGGCTATAAAAACACGACTAAGCACAATTCATAGAAGTTGGCGTCTCACGGCTTCCATACTTTTTTACCCAGTGCGCGTACACAATCCAACTAACGCTATAGCTCTAGCTCAGAGCTTCCATAGAATTTTAAAACGGACAAGAACCCTATATTTATTAAATAATTCTACACACAACAATCTATTATGTTTATATTATCTAAATACACTAGAAATCAATAGGAAGTATGAAATTAAAATGATATAGCAGAAACACACCACAAAACAAGTGTACTACATGTATCAACAATAGTTACGCATGATTGGAGCGCACCGACACCTCGATTGCTTGACCCGATGGATTTGACGGCATGGATAAAATAATGCCAGAAAAAAAACATATGGAAACGGAAGAAAGAAACATAACTTACCACAGTCTGTCGTCTGTGCCTTGTTCACAATATCGGAAACAGCTATATTTACATATCGGCTACACGAACTCACAAAACTGTGGACCGTAAACAAGTGTCCATTCCGTGCACAACCGGTCAAGCCCGTGACGTATATCCGCCCAGTGGTGCGGACAATTAAGAGTCCTTACACCGCAAAACAAACTCAAATTAAAACTTACCATTTATAGACAAACTATACATGCTTACGTGACACCCAAGGGGACCGCAAAGTGGTGTTGATCAGTCTCTTGATTCTGATTTAAGAAAATAATATTTCAGGATCAGGAAAACTGAAGTAAGATTTATATGAAAATATTTAATGAAAAATTCGTTCAGTTATTTGCGTCTTTCATATCCTTTAAATCGACTGAACTTACCAGAACTG